ATGGCGGCCGTGCGCGGGGCGCCCCTGCTCGGCTGCTTCCTGGCGCTGCTGGCGCTGTGCCCCGGGGGGCGCCCGCAGACGGTGCTGACCGACGACGAAATCGAGGAGTTCCTCGAGGGCTTCCTGTCGGAGCTGGAGCACGAGCCCCGGGAGGACGACGTGGAAGCCCCGCCGCCTCCCGAGCCCACCCAGCGCGTCCGCAAAGCCAAGGCGGGGGCGCGACCGGGGGCGGCCGCGGAAGGTAGGAGCCTGGGGCGGGGGCGGGCGGTGGCCGGGCTGGCACCTCAGGTGAGGACGGAGGGGCTCCGCAGGTCTGGCCACTCCCCAGTCCGCCCCGCGTGAGGACTGGCTGTCTAAGGCACCCGCGAGCCCAGATGTCTGGCGGGACACTGTGCCAGGCCGAGGTCACTGCTGGCTGCTAGCCTCACTAGCCTCGCCGGCCCGGAGGCACATCCAGCACAGGGCGCCAGGGCACTTTCGGGGGGCCAGTGGCTCGGGTTGTCCTAGCCCCTCATCCTCAGACCCCCAGGCACCAAAAGGAACTGGTCTCGAGCCGCAGGGGGTTGTGCAGTCACCACTCTTCCGTCCTACCGGGGCCACTCTGCCCCTGTGTGGTACAGCCTCAGGGTGCCCCCTCCCCCTCTTACCTTTACCCCAAGAGCACAAGGGCAGGTAGGGAGTTGCAGAAGACCATCTCCCCCCAAGGCTTCCTGGTGGGGTTGGCTGTGGGTAGCCAGGGGTTAGTATGACCGTTAGGTGAGGCATCCCCAAAGCATTTAGTCCAGAGCCACTTACGTAATACGTTTTCAGTAAATCTTAACTGTTTGTTGTGGCCCTTGGAGGGTGGCAGAGGGTCTTGTGATCTCTCTCCCAGGAGACTCCCAGGCCCCATCCATCATTCCTGAGGTCGGCAGCCCCACCCCTGCAGCCCCAGCTCTCCCCACCCTCCAGCCAGTCCCGCTCCAGCTGCTCTGGGCCTGCTGTCCCGGGCTTCCATTCTGCTCTAGCCCCGCTTCTCCCGGCTGCCAGCATTTTGTAACTTTTCCTGTGTTTTGGCCAAACTCCCCTCGTGCCCTCACCCCCTGTGAAATTCAGAACAGCACGCACAGCTCCTGCTTAGGGTCCTGGGAGGATTCCCGTGGGGCATCCACACACCCCGCCCCTGCTCCCTCTCCCAGACCCCCTGAGATGAGTGAGCAGCCACAAGCTCCCTGTCCTCTGTGTGGCACCCAGGTCCGCCTATCCTTCCAGCCCACCCCCAGACCACTTCCTCATCAGACCACTTCCTCATCATTGGGCTTCAAGACCCACCAAATGTCCCTTTTCTTGGAAGCTTTTCTTGCCCCTGTAGGGAGGCTCAGGGAGGGCCTTAGGCCCACGTCGTTTACTTTGTATGGCTGTTGGCAGAGGTGACCGAGTGCTCTTCCAGGCCTGGAGACTCAGTTCCTCTGCTCCTTCCACGCCCAGCACAGAATAGTGCTTTGTGACTGGCTGAGTGGACATTTGGTAAAGGAGCAGATTGTGAGAGGCCCCTGTTGAGATTTTGGCAGGTGGAGGATCAGGGTCTCTCTCAGTCTTTAGAGACTCACCCCAGACTTGCAGACAGAAAGCTCAGGTCTAAGTCACAGCTCTGCCACTCAAGCAAGTGACCTAACCTTTCTGTTTTCTGATCTGCACTGGGGACTGACAAGAGCCCCAAGCCAGGTTGTGGGCATCTTAAGCAGGGCCGCGTGGGGCACAGGGTGGGTTCCGTTAATTTGTCCTGATCTGCATCTTGGGCAGTGCCTCCAGAAAAAGCCAAAGACAAAGGGAAGAAAGACAAGAAGGACAAAGGCCCCAAGGCGACCAAGCAGCCCCTGGAGGGGTCCCCCAGGCTGCCCAAGAAGGGGAAGGAGAAGCCACCCAAGGCCACCAAGAAACCCAAGGAGAAGCCACCCAAGGCCACCAAGAAGCCCAAGGAGAAGCGACCCAAGGCTACCAAGAAGCCCAAGGAGAAGCCACCTAAGGCCACCAAGAGGCCCCTGGCAGGGAAAAAGCCCCCAACTCTGGACCCCTCAGAAACCCTGGAGTGGCCACTGCCCCCGCCTCCCAGCCCTGAGGAGCTGCCCCAGGAGGGAGGTTGGTGCCAGGCTCCTCTGGGGTCATGGGGCTCTGACTCCCTACTCAGGTGAAGTCAGGGAGGGTTGAGGGTGGGACAAGGTGGGCTCTGGGGCCTGTTTTTTGTCATGAACTTGGCCATTTCATTGGTGAGTTCTGTCAGTATTGCAGCCTCTCCTGGGTAGGGGGAGGGCTTGGCAGCCTTATGGGTGGGGTCTCTGTCCCCTGGGCCCCTGCTTATATGCCCCTGGGGACACAGCCTGCAGGTTTCCTTCCTGCCTTCCTCTGTGGGGGACAGCTCTGTAGTAGGGCCTCCCAGGCAGCAGGGCAGGGTTCCCCAGAAGGTTCTCTGGCCCCAGGGAATGCCAGCAGGGTACCTAGAGCCAGAGAACCCGGCCTCCTTGGGCTGAGCTGGTTTCAGGAGGGTGTCTACAGGGCCTTGTGGAGTCTCCAGAGGTGACTGGTGGCCTTAGGCTGTCAAGGTGGTCAGGCAGTCCTCCTGTCCACCTGCGCTGGGGCTTCTGTGTTGTAGGGGGGGCCCTCCCAAACACCCGGCAGGGCCCAGGAGAGGAGACGCACGTGGAGGCACGGCAGCACCAGCCTGGTGAGTGGCTGTCCACCTGGTCTCAGGGTGACCAATTGCCCCGGTTTGGTCTGAAACCAAGGGGTTTCCCAGAGTGGATCTGGGTGGGGGTGTTGGGCAGCCACCAGCATTTTCCCCTCAGAGCCAGAGGAGGAGACCGAGCTGCCCACACTGGACTACAACGACCAGATAGAGAGGGAGGACTACGAAGACTGTGAGTAGGACCCCCGCGGTCCCTGTCGGGATTGGGCGCCTGGTCTGGGGCACCCACTGACGGTCCTCCCAGAGGCTCTGCCCCGGCCTCGGGCCCCGCTCAGAGCCTGCCTCCCCCTCAGTCGAGTACATCCGGCGCCAGAAGAAGCCCAGGCCACCGCCAAGCAGGAGGAGGCCCGAGCGGCTCTGGCCGGAGCGCCCTGAGGAGAAGGCCGAGGCCCCGGAGGAGGAGAGGATCGGTAGGATGGTGGGATAGGATGTGGGGAGGCGCACAGGCCAGGGGCTCTGGGCCCATCCGCACCTCCCCACCTCCACAGAGCCGCCTCTGAAGCCTCTGCCGCCCCTGCCACCCCCCGACTATGGGGGTGGCTACGTGATCCCCAACTACGATGACAGTGAGTACCCGGCACCTCAGAGTCTGAGGGACACAGGCAGGTGGACATCTGGGGCCAGGAGGGTGGTCTGGAGACTGTGCCACGGTGACCAACCCACCATGAAACTCCAGCTGTGGCTGCGGTTACCTCGATGTCCCTTGCCCACCCCCGTATGCCCACCTGGCCTCGATGCCCTGTCTGCCCTCTTCTCCCCTCAGACTGGTCCTTCCCTGACACTTTCTGGTTCCTGACTTTGCTCTCGCCCCCAGCAGGGGTGCCCCTGGGTCTCGCCCTTGGCCCTGTCACCCGTGTGGGCTCCAGCCCTTCGCTGTCTCGTGCTCTGGTTGGCTTCCTGCCAGCTCGTCACCACCGTCCCACACCCTTCAGGGAGCCAGAGGGGATTTCAGCTGCCTCTCCCTCACGTCCGCCCATCACTGTGGAGTCCTCAGACTCCTTCCCCTCCTGGGCTTTGTCCTTACCATTCCCCTGTCCCCAGGTGCCCTTCAGTCTTTCCAACCTTTGGCCCCATTTCTGCCCTCCTCAAGACTCCCCTGCCCCCAGTCCTTCCGGTCACTCGAGGTCCATCCCATGGTCTGGGACTATTCCCTGCCCAGCCTGATTTCTCCTTTCCTCAGGCCAAACCCCCTGGTGGGGCCAGGCTGGTGACTTCAGCAGGGTCTTGGTTGTCCCACCTGAGCTTGGGCTGCCTCTGCACACCCCAGAGGACCCTCTCTTTTCCTCTCAGCCTGTCGCCCTAACTCCTGCCCAGCCCTGCCCTGCTGGGCTCCTGTGAAGCCCCCTGAGCTGGATCAGGCCGGCTTCAGCCCCTCTCACTCTCCCCGCAGTGGACTATTACTTCCCGCCTCTCCCGCCCCAGAAGCCTGACGCTGAGCACGAGACGGACGAAGAGAAGGAGGGGCTGAGTGAGTGGGACCAAGCAGCTCCACACCAGACCTACCCCCAACGTCCATGTGCCCCCAGCTCAGCCTAACCCCCGCCACCCTGCTGCCAGCTCGGCCTGACCCCCAGTCACCTCCCCGCACCTCAGCCTGACTCCCACCCCCCTGCCCCCAGCTCAGCCTGACCCCCACCCATGTGCACCCCAAAGCCCAGGGCCAGGCTGACAGGCCCCTCCTACTTTGCACTCTCCAGAGAAACCCAAAAAGGAGGGCAGCGGTCCCAAGGAGGAGGAGACAGACAAGTGGGCTGTGGAGAAGGGCAAGGACCACAAAGGTGTGTGGCTGGGGCCGGGGCTGGCCTCACCCTTGCGGGGCAGTGTCTGGACTCCTGATCGTCTCCGGGGCCCTCAGCACCACCTCTCTTCCACTTCCCCAGGGCCTGGGAAGGGTGAGGAGTCGGAAGAGGAATGGATTCCCACAGAGAGAGTCAGTGAGTGGGGGCCGGGGGTGGGGTGGGGCTGGGGCCACAGGGTGGGGGTGTTGTTACAAATGACCCGCCCAAGGCCACACATGGACTTGAGCCTGGATTTCTTGATGGGGCTCTGGGCCCCCAGAACCCTTCCTGCTCTTAGATTCTTGGTGTGCAACAGGGGTTTCCTGGAAGCCAAGGACAGTCTCGTTTAGTCTCCTGTACCTCTGCCTTGGGCCCAAGGCTGACCTGCTTCAGGAGGGTGGTGGCTCCTTGGGGCCCCTAGCAGCTGGGGTAGAGGTGGCTGGAGGAGGACCCAGGGCCTTGGGTGGGGAATGCAGCCCATAGTCAAGTTCACTGGCATCCCCATGGGGCCAGTGTGCAGATGACCCCATCTGGATGACATCTGTGATGGAGGGCCCCAGGGCGACTCCACTTGTGATTTCCAGTGCTGGCATGGCCGGCACATTTTGCAGATGGGGCACTGAGGACCAGGGAAGGGAAGGACAGACTGGTCTGAAGCTCCTGGCTTGGGTTTGAGTCACTTTGAGATGGGCTGGGGCTGTGGAGGTCAGGGAACCACTGGCCAGCCAGAGCTGCCTCTGATTGGCGACCCCTGAGGTGAAGGGAGTGGACTGGGGGCTCCTTGGCTCTGGATTTGGTGGAGGGGGGAGGAGCTAGCAAGCCACCAGCATGGGCTGCATGTCCCCAGAGTGCCCCCCCATCGGGATGGAGTCGCACCGCATCGAGGACAACCAGATCCGAGCCTCTTCCATGCTGCGCCACGGCCTGGGGGCACAGCGCGGCCGGCTCAACATGCAGGTGGGTGTTGGGGTGGGCCCACCTCTCAGCCAGGGCAGGGGGCTCCTCTGCTCATGCTCAGCCTCCTCGCTGCCCCCAATAGGCCGGTGCCAACGAGGATGACTACTATGATGGGGCGTGGTGTGCTGAGGACGACGGGAGGACCCAGTGGATCGAGGTGGACACCAGAAGGACTACTCGGTTCACAGGCATCATCACCCAGGGCCGAGACTCTAGCATCCAGTACGTGGCTGGGCTCACGGGTGGTTGGCAGGGGCGGGTGGCTCCAGGCACAGGTATGAGTCCTATTTGGGACATTCCTGTGGGTCCAGGAAGGCCAGAAAGATCAGTGAGGGGCTGACCTGTTCCCACTCCTCAGCCATGGCCAGTCAGAGACCTGTGTCCAGATGAGGTCAGGGACAAACGGCCCGCCCATGGCCATGTGACACCTGGGCTGTGCCCCTCAGCCCTGCCAGCTCTTACATTCTTGGGGCCCAGAAGAGGGGAACTTGGGTCACCTGAGGGCCTGGGATGGGAGTAGCCTTGCCCTGACTGCAGTCTGCTCCACAGTGACGACTTTGTGACCACCTTCTTCGTGGGCTTCAGCAATGACAGCCAGACGTGGGTGATGTACACCAACGGCTATGAGGAAATGGTGGGCGCCCAAGTCCTCAGCTCTGCTCCCCTTGTCTGGGCTGGGGGTGGGTTCCATGGGGTGTGGGGGTGTGGGTGTAGCTCTGAGGCTCGCTTTCCTCAGACCTTCCACGGGAATGTGGACAAGGACACACCTGTGCTGAGCGAGCTCCCAGAGCCGGTGGTGGCCCGCTTCATCCGCATCTTCCCGATCACCTGGAATGGCAGCCTGTGCATGCGCCTGGAAGTATTGGGGTGCCCTGTGTCTCGTGAGTGCAGAGGGGCTGGTAGGGATGGCTGGGCGTGGCCTGGGGTTGGCCAGCAGGCAGCTGGCTTATGGCCCTGCCTGCTACCACCCTGTAGCCATCCACAGCTACTACGCACAGAATGAGGTGGTGGCCACTGACGACCTGGACTTCAGGCACCACAGCTACAAGGACATGCGCCAGGTTGGGAACACTCGTCCCGAGGCTGGGGGTGGGTCCTGTCCAGAGGCTGACGGGGAGCTTGTGCCCGGGGCTCCTGTTGCCTGGGCAGCCCCTGCTGGTTCCAGGGACGTGGCCTCCCTCACCTTAGGAAGGAGGCTGGGTTTACCTGCATGGGCCGCCACACCTGTACTTCCCCATAGAGCAGTGGGCGGTGGGCTGTAACTCTGTCTCCTTGCCCTGCCCAGCTGATGAAGGTTGTGAATGAGGAATGCCCCACCATCACCCGCACATACAGCCTGGGCAAGAGCTCGAGAGGGCTCAAGATCTACGCCATGGAGATCTCGGACAACCCTGGGGAGCACGAGCTGGGTGAGGCCCTGTGCCCTGGAGGTCTGGGCTGAGTGCTGCCAGGACGGGGCTTGGCCTCCCCTCTGCCTCCGGTCAGAGGCAGGGCCCTGGTGCCGCAGCTGGGCATGCGGTGTTGATGGGCAGAGCTCACCACCTCCACCTGTTCCTAGAACCCCTCTGGGGGTCTGGGCCTGTCTTGTTGGGCCCTACGAGCCTCAGCTACCTCCAGCCCCCTAGCCCCTTGGGTATGAAGTGGGTCTGGTCCTTCCTCAGGCACCCTGGGCCTCGGGAGGCTGGGTGCTCGCTGAGGCTCCTGCCTTTGCAGGGGAGCCTGAGTTCCGCTACACAGCTGGCATCCATGGCAATGAGGTGCTGGGCCGAGAGCTGCTGCTGCTGCTCATGCAGTACCTGTGCCGCGAGTACCGCGATGGTAACCCCCGCGTGCGCAGCCTGGTGCAGGACACACGCATCCACCTGGTGCCCTCCCTCAACCCTGATGGCTACGAGGTGGCCGCGCAAATGGTGGGTGGGGGTGGGGCTGGCAGGGTCGGGTAGGCGGGGGAATGAGGGGTAGACACCCGACACCGACTGCCGGCTCCCTGCAGGGCTCAGAATTTGGGAATTGGGCACTGGGACTGTGGACCGAGGAGGGCTTTGACATCTTTGAGGACTTCCCGGATCTGAACTCTGTCCTCTGGGGAGCCGAGGAGAGGAAATGGGTCCCCTACCGGGTCCCCAACAATAACCTGCCCATCCCCGAACGCTACCTCTCCCCAGATGCCACGGTGAGGCGGGGGAGCAGCCCAGACCCCGGGGTCCCAGCCAGGTGCTGGAGCTCAGGGCTTGGAGGGGCTGGCAGGTGACTGGGTTCCAGGCATCAAGGCTGTGGGGGATGGGGGAGAATGAGAAGAGCCTGGACGGGACCGAGGTGGTGCGAGGACCTTGGGGCACAGTGACAGAGCCTACAGCCCTGGCCTCACATGCCGGCCTCCCTAGGTGTCCACAGAGGTCCGGGCCATCATCGCCTGGATGGAGAAGAACCCCTTTGTCCTGGGAGCAAACCTCAATGGCGGAGAGCGGCTGGTGTCCTACCCCTATGACATGGTGCGCGCGCCAACCCAGGAGCAGCTGCTCGCTGCAGCCATGGCAGCCGCCCGGGGAGAGGACGAGGACGAGGCATCTGAGGCCCAGGAGACCCCCGACCACGCAATCTTCCGCTGGCTGGCCATCTCCTATGCCTCCGCCCACCTCACCATGACCGAGCCCTACCGGGGAGGGTGCCAGGCCCAGGACTACACTGGCAGCATGGGCATCGTCAACGGGGCCAAGTGGAACCCCCGATCGGGGAGTGAGTCAGCTTGGGAGGGGCTGTTGTGGGGCTCTTGGCTGGGGGAGGGGGTGACTGTAGTCTGTCCTGCCTAGCTATCAATGACTTCAGTTACCTGCACACCAACTGCCTGGAGCTCTCTATCTACCTGGGCTGTGACAAGTTCCCTCACGAGAGCGAGCTGCCCGGCGAGTGGGAGAACAACAAGGAGGCGCTGCTCACCTTCATGGAGCAGGTGGGGCGGCCTGGGCAGCACCTGGGGAGAGGAGGGTGAAATGCCAGGACGGGGCCCTGAAGGGGCAGAGGGAGCCGCAGGCATGTGGGGTCTCAATGTGGACCACCAGACCTTGCCTCCTTCCTGCAGGTGCACCGCGGCATTAAGGGAGTGGTGACGGATGAGCAAGGAATCCCCATTGCTAATGCCACCATCTCCGTGAGTGGCATTAACCACGGTGTGAAGACAGGTACCTTGTGTGTGCACCTTTACCCTGCCTTCCCCCGTTCTCCCCAAGTAGCAGCAGAAAAGGGGACCGAATCTGTGTATGGTGTCGGCAAGGCAAGCACAAGGCCTGCCCAGCTGGTCCCAGGTGCCCTGGACCCTGCCAGAAAGGGTGGGCCTGGGAGGGGGCCTCAGAGGGAGGCTGCGGGCCTGGGTTCTCTGGGCAGCTGGGCTCGTCCTCCCTGTGCAGCAAGCGGTGGTGATTACTGGCGCATCCTGAACCCGGGTGAGTACCGTGTGACGGCCCACGCAGAAGGCTACACCCCGAGTGCCAAGACCTGCAATGTGGACTACGACATTGGGGCCACCCAGTGCAACTTCATCCTGGCTCGTTCCAACTGGAAGCGCATCCGGGAGATCTTGGCCATGAATGGGAACCGACCCATCCCACACATCGACCCATCACGCCCCATGACCCCCCAGCAGCGGCACCTGCAGCAGCGGCGCCTGCGGTACCGGCTGCGGATGCGAGAACAGATGCGGCTGCGGCGTCTCAACACCACCACTGCCAGCCCGACCGTGCCCCCCACGCCGCCCCCCACCCCCACTCCCTCATCCACCCCAAGCACTACACTGGGGCTCTGGGGCCTTTTGCCCCTGACCACCACTGGCTGGCAGGAGTCGGAGACCGAGACCTACACAGAGGTGGTGACAGAGCTTGGGACTGAGCTGGAGCCAGTTGTGGAGGAGACAGAGGTGAAGGAGGAGGAGACAGAGATGGAAGAGGTGGAAGAGGAGGAGGCGGCAGAGGTGGAGGAGGAGGAAGAGGAGGAAGAGGAAGCAGAGATGGTCACTGGCTGGGCATTCCCCTTCACAACAGTTGAGACTTACACAGTGAACTTTGGGGACTTCTGAGATCAGGGTCCCACCAAGGCTCTGGCCCAGCTCAAGCTACAGCAGTGTTTCCCGAGCCCCTACCCACAGTCACATCACCCACCAGCACGATGGCCCCTAGGTGGCCCAGCAGGAATGGCCGGTCCTGCCCCCCGAGGGGGCGCAAACAAGACCAAGACTTAAAAGCCAGCATCTGAGCAGAGGCTCCTGCTCCGCCTGCCAGCTTCATAAAGGCCGGGATGGCTGCAGGTTGAAGGAGCCAAGGTCACACCAATAAAACAAGGTCATGGCACTGCTGGTGTTCTGACCAGCTCAGGGAGAAGGGAGGAGGAGGGAGGCTTGTGTCTGCTGCAGGGGCGGGGCCCCAGCAAGAGCAGACTACCCAGAGTGCCCGTGAGCTGGAGGCTCAACACCAGAAAACAGCCAGGCTTTATTTACAGTGCTGACGCTGCTGGGAACAGATGGCCTCCACCCAGGCCTCCCTGGCCAAGGCTCCCTTTTTGAGTCAGGGGCCCAGCCCCGAGCCTCCGAGGTCATCGTCCTCTGCCCCAAAGCCCGAGAAGCTGATGGGTTGACAGGCCAGGTTGCACAGGTTCACAAGGCAGGCAGTCTGCGTGGCACTGAAGTCAGGGACAGCCACCAACAACACTGTCTGGTCCTCAGGGCCTGCAAAGAAGCCCCGTGGGACCCACATTAGGTTCTGGGTGAGGCCTCTCTCAAAGGGAAACTGCCAGAAGTGAAGGAGAGTTCCCCATCAGCACACAGTGGGGCAGTGATGATGGAAGACCAGACATCAGCCCTGACAGAAGCACATGGGCTCAGGGCCACTTCAGCCCCTGCCCAGTTGGTTCGTCAGCTAGGCCTCCCTCCCCACAATACCATGATGGCCATTTGGCAGACCCTGGGCTATGCATCCCACGGGGGCCAGGGGAACTGTGCAATATAGGTTGTCTTCTCTGAGCCTCGTCTCCAGGCGAGAGCAAATCCCTCATGACAGCCCAGGCCTGGGGCTCCCAGAAGACAAAACTTACCTCGGATGATTTTGGAGCCAAAGCTGGGGGTGTTGCCACAAAAGTAGACGTGAGGGCACTCCAGAAAGATGAATGGGTCAGCTTTGTAGAAGGGGTAACAACCTGGAGGAGGGCCTACTGCTGAGCGGGGCTTCTAACCTCAGCACTAGGCAGCCTGGGGCTGGGCAGTCCTGTGCTGGGGCTGTCCGCACAGGACACTGGGGCTGGGCAGTCCTGTGGTGGAGGCCGTCCCACACAGGACACTGGGGCTGGGCAGTCCTGTGGTGGGGGCTGTCCCACACAGGACAACGGCTGGGCGGACTTGTGGTGGGGGCCATCCCACACAGGATGTGGAGCACCCCTCCCCCCTATAAGCACCAGGAGCAGCCCCCCTAGTTATGACAAAAGTGCCTCCAGACACTGCCACATGACCCCAGGAGCAGGTCAAGGTGCTCATGCTGTGTCTGTCTTTTGGGGTGGGCACTGGGTGCATGACACTGTGCCCTGCTAGCCCAAGCTTCCAATATACTCCCAAGGCCATCAGCCCTGAGCAGGCCTTGGCCACAGACAGAATTAAGATTCCAAAGTAGCTTCCAAAACAAGTGTCAAGCTTCTGCACTTTTCCTTAGACAGGCCTTGGCAAGGCTGGCAGGTGCAAACCCATGCTGGGAACCCTGCCAGTGTCAGGGCCCCTGCCAGGCCTTCCTGGCCCTTTGGTCCCACCCTATGTGGCTCACCCCATTACCTAGGGTGTCAGGAGCTGTGGGGCTGATATGACGGACCCGCAGTGTCCACTCCAGGATCTCCAAGTGATCCTCCATGCTGCTGTATCTGAAAATGTCACTCACATTCTGTCCTGATGTCCCTAGGAATCTGCAAGGCAAGGCTTGGCTGACGCCTGGCTGGGGAGGGGCCGCCATCATGGCTCCACCCACAGTGGCCAACCCAGCGCTCACCTAGTGCTCTTGTGGATGGGGCCCAGGCAGGCCCTCCCCTCCCCTCCCACCCCAACTTGTGCCTCCTGAGGCAAAGGCTGGGCTAGACTGAAGTGTGGCTACCTGACTCCATCGATGGTAGCCTGGTAGGGGTTGGTAACCAGCTGGAGCGTGGAGTAGGCAGTGGCCAGAGGGAACATGCAGGGATGAAGGGGCTGCTGGGGGATCGTGTAGTTTGTCGGATCAAATTCACCTGGCATCACATCCACGGGCACTGAGGCCTGGAGGGCACAGGGCAGGGAGCTCGCAGGGTCCTTGGGAGCCCACACCTCCCGCTTTGTCACAAACCCTCCCCATCCCTGCCCACTGTTGCCTGATGGCAACTTCAAAGCCTGGGGTCTCAATCATCCCGCCAGCCCCCAAGCTTGCTCACGCTCAGCTGCAGGAGGATCTCGTCCAGCATCTTGACGGCCTCCACGCTGGCTGCCTGGGTTTTCTTGGTGAGGTACTTGGCCTGGAAGTAGAAGCCCAGGGGGCTGTCAGGCCCTGCGTGGACCTCAGATCAGAGGGACACCCAGAGCCCACCTGGGTCTCATGCTCTGAGGACAGCAGAGCAGAGCTCCACCGGCAGGAAGATTTCAGAGCTGTCCTACCGACCCTCACCGCCGTCTGGCTCCACTCTCCTCAAAAAAAGGGTCTGAGCAGGGTGAGCCCCCAGAGGAACCACAGGGCACTTCCCACCAGACCCACAAGACCTTCAGGTGCCCGACTCTCCAGCACCTGGATGCAGCCAGGTGGGCGCTGTACCTTATTGATGGAATCCCTGCTCTGGGTGCTGTGGCTGAGGAGGTTACCAGCGAGGATGACCCGTGAGACGTGGGCGGCACTGCACTGCTCCCCTTCGTCCCCGAGCTGCCCCGTCACCACATCCACCAGCAGCTGGGTGCCCAGCAGGCTCTCACCGCCGCCTCCACCCAGGCCCAGGCCGGACACCAGCAACACAAACCTGTGGTAGAAGATGGGGTCCTCCAGGGCACAAAGAAGGGAAGCAGCTCCTCCCAGATCCCCTGCACTGTCGACAGGGTCCCGGCCCCCGAGGGCAGTGCCTCACCTGTCTGTATCAAGGGGGGGCGCGGGCTTCTGCGGAGCAAGGTCAGCGAAACAATGGTCCTCCACCAGAAATTTCCCATCGTCTCTCACGGAACCAAACACAGCCAGGACTGTTCCTGGTGAGTAGCAGTGTCAGGCCCCCAGGAGGGAGAACCCCAGGTTCTACAACCTCCTTCCAGTCACCCAAATGGTCAAAACCAGCCAGTCCTCCTCAGCCCCACCAGTGAATTGTCACTTAGGACTCTGGGACTGAAGCCTACTCCCTGTGGTCATTGCTTTAGGGTAAAGGCAGGAGACCGATCTCCCAGCCAGGTCTCACCCACCTTATGGACTCTTACTGCCTGAACACACCCCTACCTCCATGCCAGGCCTCGATGTACAGGCCACAACCCCAACACAGCCCCACAGGGCTCCCCACCTGTGACCAACTTTGATACATCAATGGTGCCTTTCAGTCTGATGCGCTGCAATTCATCCTCCAGGACCAGCTCGTCATCTGGGTGGGTGTACTTGCTCCGAGGAGGCTGGGGGAGCAGGTTGTGCTGGAATGTGGAGATAGAAGGTGGTCTTGGGGCCAGAGCCCACCTTGGCTCCACCAAGTCCCCCCACCCCTCTGGAACTGCTCTCCCACCCACCATGGGCAGAGGCCCAGCCCCATCACCTGGGTCTATAGTGGGTGGCATATCAGTGTCCCCTAGAGAGGTGTTCAAAGGGAGGCCGAGGCTGCCCCGCCCTGTGTGAGCCACGGGTCTCACCTCCTCACTGATCTCTCGCAGGATGGAGGGCTGGAGTGGCATGGCCTTGAACAGAGTCCCCACCACACAGCACTGCTCCCCAGGCTGCAGCTCACACAGCTTCTTCACATTGACTCCACTGCCTGGGGCACGAGGGGCACAGACTCAGAGACCAGGAGGCCCCACCCCTGGTGAAGCCCCCAGAGGCTATGCCCAGCCCTCCACCGTGAGACACCTAACAGGGCCTCACTGGAATGCTGCAACCCAGCGGCCTTTCCAAGAGGGAGAGAACATCCAGGGAAGGACCCCTGGATCTCAGCATGACAGCCACTCTGGATGTGGCTGAGCCTTGAATGCCGAGTGTCCTCAAAAGAGGCAGAAAGAGACAGGCAGGCGGAGATGAGGGCCATGTGAAGACGGGGCAGAGGCTGGAGGGCAGCGGCCACCAGAACCTGGAAGGGGCCAGGAAGGACCCTGCCACAGGGCCAACAGAAGGAACCACCCTGCTGACACCTTGCTCTCAGGCTTCTGGCCTTCAGAACCATGAGAGAATAAATGTCCATTGTTTTAAGTCATGCAGTTTGTGGTGCTTTGTTACAGAGGCCACAGAAAATGAGTAGAGAGTATTATTTCACTCACACCTAAATTATAACACTGACTCTTAGAAAGAGGCACGCCACATCTCAGCATAGTCCTGCCCTAAAAATATCACAATTTCCTTGAAGAGTTTGGATTTTTCCACCCAGCCCCCCACCTCCATCATCCTCTGAAAACAGACACCCCAAATTCAGATTTCATATCCCCTCCACCTGCTACACTTCCTGAGGAATCAGGCAGCCCAGAGTGCCTGGACACCATCTTCCCAGTGCCTTTCCAGGATCTCAAGGGCAAACAAGAACACAGGGAAGGGTTCGGTACACTCAGGAGAAAGGTGTGGGGGGAGGGGCTAGGGTGGGCAGGAGGAAGGAATGTAAGTCCTGAAGGCCCACAGACTTGTCAGTACAGACCCCAGGCTGGAGAAGACACTGTGAGGAGGTGACAGCATGATGTGGGTGCCCACACAGCCCCTTGGCCCAGCTGACTCCAGCCCAACCTGAGCCCCTCCTGCCCTGGAATAACCAACATTCCTCAGCTCTACACCCTGTAGAGCAGACAGAGGGGAGTAATTCAGAACAAGATAACGAGGGCGCCAGCACTGGAGAGCAGTGCCAGACACCAGCGGAAACGACAGACCCCAGATTCCCACCTATTGTGCTCTCACTCTGCCCTGGGGGGCCCTAAGCACTGTTCATGTAACTCATCCAACCCTGACAATGTACTCAAAGTAGAAATCACCCCCACTGAGGCACAGAGGGGTTTAGCAATACACAGCTGGGATCCAAATGTATGCCCCTGAGTGTTGGGCAGGACCACACATCCCTGCAAAAATGTGCTGGCACCAACGACATCAAAACTGGACGCAGAGGCCAGCCCCTGCCCTAGCTGAGCCTACCATCCAGGAAGGAGAGAGACAACAGACAATAAACCAGGTATTAGCCATGTGACAAACAGAATGAACAAACAGGGAGCTGAGGTAGAAAATACGGAGAAAGCCCTGATCAGTCAAGGCGGCCACGAGTGGCCTCTTGAAGGGCATGGCACGTCAGTTGAGACATGAGAAGAAACCATGGGAAGACTAGTGCCAGGCAAAGGGAAAAGCCCATGGCAAGAAGGGCTTGGCACGTTCAGGGAACAGGTGAGTGGAGAGAGACCAATTCCGAGAGACAGGGTGAGCTTTGGTTAGGAAGCCCCAGCCACACGAGAAGCCCCATGTAGGTACTTGGGGCAACAGCATCAGCTGCCAGCCTGTGAGTGAGCGATGCTGTTGCCCCACTGCCAATCCCATCTTTCATGGTGGCAGCTGTCTGAACTCCCGGCCACAGTCTGTTGGTGCAGTGAAATAGCTACTGCCCATCACTGGGGAGCTTTGTCAGCATCTACAGTAACTGGAAGAGAAATGTGGTACTAGAGGAGGGTACTGCAGGAAAGAATCTAAAAGGTGGCACTGACATTGGGCCTGAGCAGCAGGTGGGCCCTGGAAGGGCCTAAGGAGGGTGTCCTGAGGGCCTAAAGGAAAGTTAGGGAAAGGTTACTGAGAGGCAGAGGAAGGATCTCTTGTGTGGTAGAGGAGAGGGAAACACTTTTGCCAGAAGTAGAGAACAGAAAACATTCCTAACAAATTTGATCTAGATATGAGATTTCTGGGCCGCGTTATCCTGGCGGCCTCTAATAAATCAAGAGTTGACCCTGTAGCTTGGTGTGGGATCAGATGAGTTTCCTAAAACTCCCCAGGTGGTTCTAATGTGTGGCAGAGGCTGAGATTCACGGTGCCTAGTGTAAATCAAGAGTTGACCCTGTAGCTTGGTGTGGGATCAGATGAGCTTCCTAAAACTCCCCAGGTGGTTCTAATGTGTGGCAGAGGCTGAGATTCACGGTGCCTAGTGCCAGGGACAATAAAGATGAGGAAGACATGATCTCACTGCAAAAGCCTTGGCTCCTGGAGCCTGGCGCCAGGCCTGCCCTCCTGAGGGGCTCTCTAGCTACAGCGTGGGCAAACGGTGAATGATCTGCACGGAAGACAGAATATTTCCCTCTGCCAATCACCATCACTGCCAGAATTGAGCCTTTACCTGGACCAGCCTCTGAACTAAACCTAACTTTAAACCCACATATTACTTAATTAATCCTCATTACCTTAAGATGAAACTGAGGGATAAAGAAGTTCATTTTCCTCTGGACCAGCCTCTGAACTAAACCTAACTTTAAACCCACAAATTACTTAATTAATCCTCATTACCTTAAGATGAAACTGAGGGATAAAGAAGTTCATTTTCCTAAGGTAAATGTAGAGGAGGATAAATTGGAGAAATGCTCCACTTCTCGCACAGTTCTAAGTTCTGGGCTGGTGGGGGAAAACTCTCACTTACCCCAGTGCTGCTGGGCCCGACTCACCAGGAAGGGTCTCATTTGGATGAGGCGGGTGGCATAAATGTGGGCGTACTGCCGGCTAAAACTGCGCTCCCCCAGCCGGAAAGGTTGGGAGGAGTTGGTGTAGGTCACCACAGGCACCCGGGTGAAGGTGGCGTTGTTGGCTGATGGTGGGGACAGCAGAGTGTGGGCCCTCTGGGCAGCCTGCTCGGAAAACATGGCCACGCTCTCGGCTTGCTCTGTCCAGACGGCTGCGCCCAGGCCAAGGAGGAACACTGTGAGGACACAAAGACATTCCTGGCACCCCTGCCGTCCCCAAAGCAGCAGCTCTCCTGATGTGTTAACTGCACTGACCACACTGCACCGCAGCCCCAGCTCTAGTTGACACCAGACCTCCCATCCATATGGAAATTTATTGTGTTTGGATACTGAGGTCTTGCCCTGTAACTCTCATCCAGAAAGGAAGAAAGGAAAGCTAGGAGTGTTTCCCCCACCTGGAGCTCTCTCCAAACCCCAGACTTGGGCGTCCACCGCCTGCTCCACCTCTCCACCTGATAACTACCAGCGTCTCAAGTTTGGTATGCCTCAAATAGAACTCCTGGTCTGCCTCCATCCAGCTCTGCAGCAACTGTCCATCTCCAGGCATGAGGCCAACCTTATTATTAAATAAGCCCACCATAAAGTTACAAGCCTATTACTGAATAATAAAATTAAACTAACTAAAACATAAATCAGTCACTGCTCTGCTCAAAACTCTTCAAAGGTCCCCCATTTCACTGAATAAAGTCCCAAGTCCTTTCAATCGTCTGTGAGATCTGCCACCTCAGTCCTCCCCTCCCACCTTGTGTCTCTACTCCTCCACCTTGTGTCGCTCTCCGAGGCTTGTTCCGCTTGTCTCTTTCAGGTCTTAACCCAAATGCCTCCTCCTCCCCTGACCATCTGATTTACAGCTGCGACATTCCCCTGGTGCTTCTGCTTCTCCAATTATTGTTTTTTCCAGCCTTTACCTTCTAACAAACTATTTTAAATATTTTTGTCTGCCTCCTCCGACTAGACCTTGAGCTCCAGGAGAGCTCATGTGTTTTATTCCTGGAGGTGTTACCAGCACCTGGAACCGCACCGTGCCACCTGGGGCTACTGATCACTGGAGATGTAGCCAGTCCAGCTGAGGTGTACGTGTGGGATACACACCGGATCTGAGCAGTAGCACAAAGACTATCTCAACAATTTCTTCACATACAGTTGAAATAATAGTTTGGATATACTGGGCTACTAAAATTGATTTCTCCTGTTTTTTACTTTTTTACTACACCTGTTACAAAGTTTGAAGTTCCACAGTTGGCTCATATTCTCTCTCCTGGACAACTCAGGTATAGGACACAGGCTCTACGTATTTGTCGAATGAATGAATATGAATTAACTTTCGGCCCAAACGTGTGCGACGGTGGCTGCAGCCAGGCCGCGCCGTGGGGAGCTGCAGGCTCGCGCGGGACCCGCGGCACCGGCGAGCGTGCCGGGACCCCAGCTCAGCTCCAGGCGACAGCTGCGAAGCGTCAGCCGAGAACCGAACCCCCGGCCTCGGTAGCCCGGCCCCGCCGCCCCCCGCGGACCCCATCGCCAGGGCTTTCAGTAGTTTCATTATAATGTGCTTCAGTGTGTATATTTTCTGAGTTGATCCTACTTGGAGTTTATTGAACTTTTTGGACATATTCATGTCATTCATCAAATTTAGGAAGTTTTCAGGCATTACTTCTTCAAATAATTTCTCTGCCCCATTCACTCTCTTGTCTTTCTGGAATTCCCACAATGGGTATGTGCTCTGCTTGATGGTGTCTCATAGGTCTCTTAGGCTCTATTCTCTTTTCTTCAATTTCTTTCTTTCTGTTCCTCAAATTTGATAATTTCCATTGATTGTCCTGTCTTCAACTTTGCTGATTCTTTCTTCTCCCTGCTCAGATCTGCCTTTGAATCCCTATAGTGCATCTCGTTACCGCGCGCCGCATTCCACCAATCCCAGCACGCCGGCCTCTGGGCGCCGTGCAAGCGCGGAGCCTGGCTCCTGGTTCCCCAGGCAACGCGGGGCGGGGCCTCGTGAGCGTGCGCGCGCGTCGCTGAGCTGCGGCGCCCCGTCAAGCCCCGCCCATAGGTCCCGCCCTGTGGTCCCGGGCAGTGTCCTGGTGAAGCCGGGTGGGATTCGGCTTTTCCGCAGAGCGTCCTATCTAGAGGGATTGTGACGCGCGAGCAGGGTCCCTTTGGAAAGGAGGAGGCCCAAGGGCTGCGAACCCTGCCGGGGAGCAGATCCTCTGCCGAGGAGCGCGGGGACGGCCTGGGAACCCGGGTCCGAGATCCCCGGCTCCTGCGACGTCCGCGCCCAATTTGGATGCCTTTTATCTCTTTTGCCTAGTTACTCTGGCTAGAACTTCCAATACTGTGTTGGATAGACATGGTGAAATGGGCAGCTTTGTCTTGTTCCTTATCTTAAAGGAAGAGCTTTGTCTTTCACCACTGAGATCGATGTTTACAGTGTTTTTCATATATGGACTTCCTTGTTCAAGTGGGTTTCCTTCTATTCCTAGTTCGTTGAGGTGTTTTGTTTTTTATCATGAAAGGGTGTTGAATTCGGTCAAGTACTTTTTCTGCATCAGTGGAGATGATCAAGTGGGTTTTTTTCCCCTACTGTTAACGGGGTCTATTACATTTATTATTATTATTATTTTTTGAACCATTCTTGCATTTCAGGAGCAAATCCCACTTGGCGGATTTGTAAACCACTTGCTGGAGTTACAAACCAAAGTTAAAGTAATACTAGATTTTTAATTGCCCCTGTATGTGCCTTTAGCAGAGATCTTTATTTCTTTTTTTTTTTTTTTTCCTTTTTGTCTTTTTTACTGACCGGCAACGGGATCGCAACCCTCGGTGCTGCGCCCGCACTGCGCTCAGCCAGTGAGCGGGAACCGGTCTCCACATGGGATCCGAACCCTCGGCGGGAGCGCCGCTGTGCTCTCAATTGGCGCACTCTCCAGTGCGCCACTGGGCAGGCCCAGAGATCTTTATTTCTTTATTTGGCTTTGAGTGAGTGGTGTCCTTTCATTTCAACCTGTAGGATTCCCTTTAGAATTTCTTATAGGGCAGGCCTAATGGTAATGAACTCCTCAGCTTTTGTTTACCTGGAAATGTCTTCATTTTCTGCTAATTTTTAAAAGACTTTTATCAGATAGAGGATTCTCAGTTGACAGGATTTATTTTTCTTTCAGCACTCTGAATATATAAACTCACTGCTTTTTGGCCTCCAAGTTTTCCAATAAGAAATATGACAGTCTTTTTGAGGATCCCTTGTATGTGATGAGTCAATTTTCTCTTGCTGCTTTTAAGATTGTCTCCTTACCTTTAGCTTTCAGTAGTTTCATTATAATGTGCTTCAGTGTGTATATTTTCTGAGTTGATCCTACTTGGAGTTTATTGAACTTTTTGGACATATTCATGTCATTCATCAAATTTAGGAAGTTTTCAGGCATTACTTCTTCAAATAATTTCTCTGCCCCATTCACTCTCTTGTCTTTCTGGAATTCCCACAATGGGTATGTGCTCTGCTTGATGGTGTCTCATAGGTCTCTTAGGCTCTATTCTCTTTTCTTCAATTTCTTTCTTTCTGTTCCTCAAATTTGATAATTTCCATTGATTGTCCTGTCTTCAACTTTGCTGATTCTTTCTTCTCCCTGCTCAGATCTGCCTTTGAATCCCTATAGTGCATCTTTCACTTTAGTTATTGTACTTTTCAGCTCCAGAATCTCTTTTTGTTTACCTAAAAAAAAACCCAGCAAAAAAACTAAAAAAGTTTTCTGTCTCTTTTGTATTCCCGTTTATTTGTACATCATTGTCTTGACTTTGTCCACATCTTCCTTTAGCTCTTCAAGCATGTCTAAGACAGTTGTTTTAATTTTTTAAATTTTTAATTTTTTTAGCAGCTGGCCAGTACAGAGATCAACCCTGTACCTTGGTGTTATCAGCACTGTGTTGTAACCAATTGAGCTAATCAGCCAGTAAGACAGTTTTTTTTAAAAAATAATTTTATTTACTGAATCAAAATTGATTATGCATATTTTAGGGGTTGAACATTGAGTTATGTTGATTAAATCAGTATTACTAGCATATATATTGTTACAAATCATAATTATTCTTTATGCCCCTTTGTCCAACCTCTCCCCTTCCCCCATTCCCTCCCCCTCCACCGTCTTATTGCCTAGATTTCTTCTCTCCTTCTGAAAGAATAATGGTTATTCTGTTAAGTTGTTACCTAGATGATCTGTCCAATCCTGAGAGATGTGATCAGGTCCCCCAATATTATCATAGAGCAGATGCTTCTTCTGTCACTCTGAAATGGGTTTTGTGGAAAGAGACATCCTCTTCTTTTCCTTGTCTCTGCTGGCGACTCTTCTTATGTGAATGCACTCCAGTGGTTGGCAGACCATCTGAGTGGTGGCTGTGCTGTCTAGCCGCTTTTGCAGCAGCCATGGTTATTGTGGTGACTGTGGTGGGCCACCCATGTGGGGGTGCTGTTTTTGGCATGCTCCTTGGCACTGGTGGTATGCCTGGTTGTAGGGTGTCTTTGGTCCCCTTCTCCTTGCCTTGGGTCCCCTGGCAGGCCCCAAGGTGCTGGCATGTTGTGCCTGGCTGTGGGAGGGTGGGCTGGTCCCCTTCTCCATGCCCTGGGTCCCTGGGCAGGGCCCAAGGTGCTGGCGTGGTGTGCCTGGTTGTGGGAGAGAGGTCCAATCCCCTTTTCCATGCCTCAGGTCACTGGGCAGGCCCTGAAGCACTGGCATGGTGTGCATGGTTGTGGGAGAGAGAACCATTCCCCTACTCCTTGCCCCGGTTCCATGGGTGGGCTCTGAGTTGCTGGCATTTTGTGCCTGGTTGTGGGAGAGAGGCCCAGACCCCAACTCCATACCCTGGGTCCCTGGGTGGGCCCCAAGGCACTGGCTCAGTGTGCCTGGTTGTAGGAGAAAGGTCCATTCCCCTTCTCCTTGCCTCAGGTTCCCGGGCAGGCCCCAAGGTGCTGGCATGGTGTGCCTGGTTGTGGGAGGGGCGTCCAGTCCTCTTCTCCATGCTTCAGTTCTCCAGGCTGGCCCTGAGGCACTGGCACAGTTTGCCTGGAAGTGGGAGTGGGGTCCAGTCCCCAGATCCAAGCCTCCAGGTCCCCAGGCTGGCCCCAAGGTACTGATGCAGTTTGCCTGGAAGTGGGAGTGGGGTCCAGTCCCCAGATCCAAGCCTTC